AGTGGTCTCTAATCAGAGACCTTACCTCTTTGGAGATAATGGTACCCCATCCCACAGGATTGTTGGGGTTATGTATGTAAAACCCTCAGCACACAGTAGGCATTCAGTAATCGGAATATATGAAGGTAAATGATCACAGCGAGTATTCACTGAGAGCTAAAATGTCCCAGGCACTGTTCTAAGTGCTTCACACGGATACACTCAAAATCCTCGCCACACACCTGTGAGGTCGGAACTATCTCTCCAATTTCACAGATGAGCAAAATGTTCAGGAAGTTCCAGCAAAGCCACAGAGGGAATACAGGAAGTAGGCCTGTGGAGCCCACGCCCTTCGTCACCAGCTCTGATGCCACCCCACCGCCCCACTCACCCACTCTGCACCCCACCACAGAGCTTGAGAACCAACCCTTCAACTGCACTTTGCTCTTCTTTCCGTGTTTGTTCTCAGACACTAACTCAGTGAGTCTTCATGCCTTTGGAGTCATTCTCCGGCGGCGTTTCTATCACCAAGGCCATATTTTCCAACCACCGATCTTCTTTGTTTCCAGCTTCGGCATTCCAATCACCAGTACTTACCAATGCATCCTGATTGCATGCCCGATCAATTTCAGACTGTAGAAGTTGGTCAAATCTTTAATTTCTTCATCTTTGGCCTTGGTAGTTGGCGCGTAAATTTGCATAATAGTCATATTAACGGTCTTCTTTGTAGGCGGATGGATATAATCCTATCACTGACAGCGTTGTACTTCGATAGACCTTGAAATGTTCTTTTTGACGATTCATGCGACGCCATTCCTCTTCAATTTGTCATTCCTGGCATAGTAGGCCACATGATTGTCTAATTCAAAATGGCCAATCCCAGTCCACTTCAGATCACCAATGCCTAGGATATCAATGTTCATGCGTTCAATTTCATTTTTGACGACTTCCAGTTTTCCCAGATTCATACTTCGTACATTTCACGTTCCAATTATTAATGGATGTTTACAGCTGTTTCTCCTTATTTTGAGTCGGGCCACGTCATCAAATGAAGGTCCCAAAAGCTTGACTCCATCCACGTCATTCAGGTCGACTCTACTTTGAGGAGGCAGCTCTTCCCTACTGGTATTCTGAGCACTTTCCAACCTGAGGGCTTATCTTCCGGCGCTGTATCGGACAATGTTCTGCTGCTATTCAAAGACTTTTTTCACTGGCCAATGTTTTCGGAAGCAGACCGCCAGGTCCTTCTTCCTAGTCTGTCTTAGGCTGGAAGCACTGCTGAAACCTGTCCACCATGGGTGACCCTGCTGGTATTTGAAATACCGATAGCATAGCTTCCAGCATCCCAGCCACACGAAGCCTCCAGAGTAGGGCAAACTGACAGACAGACGGTGGTCATTAGAAAGCCTTGGGGGTTTGTTAAGGACAGAGGCCAGCATCGGCTTTCAGAGACACTGAATCCATAGGACAGGGGTGCGGTGGATGAGTGGGTGGGCTGGGGTGATATTTTCACAGCGGGCCGGAGGGGATTTGGACACAGGAAGTCAGCAAACTCTCCTCAGAGGACCTAAGCTTGAGACGTTGGCTTCTGAGTCATAACTGGGTTCAAATCTCAGCTTTCCCTGGCCTGTGAGTGCCGGCTTTTGGTGAGGACGTTTTTCATCTGGACCGAAGTTACTTCATCCACAAGACGGAGGTGCTGTGTCTCCTCAGGATGGCTTGTATGAGTCAGTGATGGAAAGCTTGCAAAAAGCTCAGTGCAGGTCCTGACACACAAGAAGAGCTAAATACATGGGGCCTTACTCACTGTTGTCACTGTTGCTGTCTCTGTATTGTGTGCCCCCCGCCCCCCAGCCTTAGCCCCTCAGGAGCTTAGAATCCTCTCTGGGCAGGAGGAGTCTGAAGGCTATGGCTGAACATCCGAAGGGCTGCTTAGGGGACAGCTGTATTCTCTGAATCTGTAGGGACAAGCGGGATGGGGTGGGGGTTAGCAATAGTGCCCCCCTCTGAGGCCCCAGCTGGGCCCCAAGCAGTCTGAAGTAGAAGGTCTCCCAGTGATTCTGGGTCCACAGGAAGGTTAGACCCTGGGGATCAGGTCCTGGGCAGGGTCTGAGGCCCAGGGTGGGGCCTAGTCTCTCCACTGGCTGACCTCAAGCCTGCAATGTCTCTCAGGCTCTGAGGATTCTGGTCTAAGGATTCTGGAGCAGCCTTGGCCGGACAAAGACTGGAGCCACAGTGCCCTCTGGTGGCCACATCCTCGGTCTCAGTTTGGGAGAAGGGGCGAAAGATGGGGACTTCCAGGATCAGTGACTGTCTTCAAAGTTTGAGTAACAGAAGATCAGGGATCGGGACCCGAAGGAGTCGGGACAGGAACCCTACCCTGTGAGGTCAGGTGGCTAGGACACTAAAGGATTCACCAACGGTTCAGACGTCCCCTCCTTCAGAAAGCCCTCCCTGAACCCCAGGTTGGGTCAGGTGCCTGCTCTGGCCTCCCACATCCCCTCAGCTTCCCTACTCCAGGCCTGGCCCCTCTGCCTGTGCCTCCCCGGTCCCAGTCCTGACCCCACTGGGCTGTCATTGTCTGATGATGGGTCTGTCACCCCACTCTACTGTGACCTCAGGGCTGAGCCTGGGGCTGTCTCCATCAGGGGGTGTCCCTAGCATGCCCACACAGGGCTGTGGTCCACAGTACTCTAGAAATTAGCTCTCTCTCTGGGTTTTAGCTCCAGGCCCTTGGCTGGGCAGTTTCCTTGATAGAGCCCCCCCGCTTCTGGTCGTCCGTGTCTCCATGCATGGGAGGGCACAGCCTGGTCCACCTTGCTGTCTCTCCTCACCAGCTGTGTGCCTCGGGGCTGGACACTGGGAAGGACACGGGGCATAATGACTAATTGATTTCATTTACTTATTCAACACATATTTTAAAACAAGGAAAAAACAAACCCAACCTGTTGCTGTTGAGTCAATTCTGGTTCATAGCAACCCCACGTGTGTCAGGGTAGACCTGTGCTCCATTGGGTTCTCAGTGGCTGTGATCTTTCAGAAGCTGATTGCCAGGCCTTTCTTCTCAGGTGCCTCTGGGTGGATTCTTACCACCAAACTTTTTCTTCTTTTCTTTTCCTTTTATACTGCTTTAGATGAAGGTTTACAGAGCAAATTAGTTTCTCATTAAACAGTTGATACACAAATTGTTTTGTAACATTGGTTGCCAACCCCGTGACGTGTCAACACTCTCTGCTTCTCGACCTTGAGTTCCTCATTTCTATGTGTTCAGCCTTCCTGCTGCCTCCTGCCTTCTTGTCCTTGCCCCTGGGCTGGTGTGCGCATTTAGTCTCGTACACATGGTTGAGCTACACGTATTACTGTTTGTTTTATGGGCCTGTCTAATCTCTGGCTGAAGGGTGAACCTCAGGAGTGACTTTATTACTGAGCTAAAAAGGTGTCCAGGAGCCATACTCTCGGGGTTTCTCCAGTCTCTGTCAGACCAGTAAGTCTGGTGTGTTTTGTGAGTTAGAATTTTGTTCCACATTTTTCTCCAGTTCTGTCCGGGACCCGCTATTGTGATCCCTGTCGGAGCAGTCAGTGGTGGTAGCCAGGCACCATTTACTTGTGCTGGACTCAGTCTGGTGGAGGCTGTGGTCCATAAGCCCTTTGGACTAATCTTTCCCTTGTGTCTTTGGTTTTCTTCATTCGCCCTTGCTCCAGGTGGAGTGAGACCAGTTCGAACCACCAGACTTTGCAGTTAGTAGCGAAGTGCTTAACCGTTTGTGCCACCCAGGGGCTCCACTTAAAAAAATAGCACCTACTATTTGCCTGGCCCTGTTCTAGGCACTGGGGAGATAGCAGCACATGGAACAACATCCCTGCCCTCATAGAGCTGACATTCTAATGAACAAAACCAACCAAACCAAACCCATTGCCGTCGAGTCGATTCTGACTCATAGCCACCCTCTAGGACGGAGTAGAACTGCCCCGGACGGTTTCCAAGAAGCACCTGGAGGATTTGAACTGCCAGCCTTTTGGTTAGCAGCGGTAGCTCTTAACCACTGCTCCACCAGGGTTTCCTTCTAATGAACGGAGGCAGACAACCAACCAAGTAACCAAACAGATGTACCATTGGATGATAGACTTTGATAAGAGCTTGGAAGAAGCGTAAAGCAGTGAAAAGGGACAGAGGTACAAGGGATGCTATGTTAGCTGGGCTGGCTCGCACCTTCTCAGGTTTTAACTCCAATGCCACCTCCTCACAGAGGCCACCCTTTCCTCAAATCGCCCTGTTTTGTTTTCTTTACAGCGCCATCACTCCCTGCAATGATCTTATCTATTTACTTTCTTGTTTATTACCTGTCTTTCTCCACTAGAATGCCAGCTTCTTGAGGGCAGCGATTTTGTCTGCTTTGATCTTTGTTGTATCCCCAGCGCACACCAGAGTCTGACACACTCAATAAATGAACGAAGACATCGATTAACCCCTGTGCTTGGTCACAGCTGGTTTACACAGAAGAAGCACCTGGACCAGCTGGCACAGACAAAAATCCGCGACAGATTCTGGGGTCACCCACAGATCCTGGGGAGGCCCAGAAGTCGAGGACCACCTGCGCCAGCGCCCGAGATGCTTGGAGGATGGGAAGCGGGAGTTGGGAACCGAGCATCCCCAGGGAGGGGGAAAGGATGTTCTGGGGCGAGTCCCGCCCCGCCCCGTATCTCCAGCAGCCAATGGGCGCGCGGTCCTCCCGGCGCCCCCTGGGACGTGTAGTCCCGGCAGGGGCGCCCTCGGGCGCCGACGCGCGCCCCTAGACTCCACGTCCCGTCGTGCGCCTGGAGGCGCGGGGATTGGCCGAGCCCCGCCCCCGTCCCGCCCCGCTCAGCTCGCGCCGCGGCCCCAAGAATGAATGAAATCGTAGCG